TACCTACACAATGGAATTGCTTTCAGCCGCAAAGATCAACAAAGTTAGGTTGTTCATAGAAAAATGGATGCAACTAGAGACACTCATATCAAGCAAATTAATCCTCAAAAAAGACAAATATCAGTTTCCTCTCATATGTAGTTCCTGGATTTTATATAGATACATACAATCATGTATGTATATATATCACACAAAAGCAGAAATTAAATTATCTAGTAGAACAAAGAGAACTAATGGGGAAGGTCAAAAGGAAAGGGAGGGGGCAAAAGCAATATATGCTTGTAGGAAAATGTCCTTATGTGACACAGTACCTTGTGCAATGAATATATATACAATGAAGATTGTCTTTAAAAAACAGATAGCTGGAAAAATTGACATTAGAAACTCAGTATTAACAGAAGAGAAAGGAATTCATGATTTGGTAGAGCTGAGAAAGACTAACAAGTCATAGATTCTGATATCCCATTTAATCATAAGCAGAATAAGTTTTTTAAAACATCTATTCATGCCGGGCATGGTGGCACATGCCTTTAATCCCAGCACTCGGGAGGCAGAGGCAGGCAGATCTCTGTGAGTTCAAGGCCAGCCTGGTCTACATAGAAAGTTCCAGGACAGCTGGGGCTACAGGGTGACCCTGTCTCAAAAAAGACCAAAAAAAAAAATCTATTCATATTGTAACAAAACTCAGTTCATCTAAGAAAAAGGAAAGAAAAGGCAATGACTTCATTAACTGTTAGACTGACTTTTCCAATGAAATGGAAATAAGAAATAATGGGTTCAGAGTGCTGAGAGAATGCAACCATCAATTTAGAATTGTGTACCCAGGAAAATCTCTTTTAAACCTCAGAAGGAAAGCAAAGATACTTCAGTTAAACACGTGAGCTTCCTGCTGTAAACTACTTGAGCCTCTAGTGCAACATTTCATACGCTTTATTTCTGATCTAGCCAGAGAGTTTATTAAAAAACAAATTGTGATTCACTATATCTGGGAGGGATCTGACACTATATTTCTTTTCTTTTTTAATTTTTTTATTTATTTTATTATAATTTTATGTGTATGAGTGTTCTGACTTCACGAATGTAAGTGTACCGGTACATGCAATGCCCAGAATTGGAATTAGAGGTGGTTGTGAGCTGCCACATGGGTGCTAGGAACCAAACCTGGGTCCTCTGAAAGAACAACAATGTTCTTAACTGCTAAGTCATTTCTCCAGACCCCTGGCATTACATTCCTAATGAGTCCCTAAGTGATGCTGATGACTCAAAGATAACAATTAAAGGAGCAAGCTTCTCTAAAGTCTGTACAGAAAAAGTATAATAGTTTGGATGGTCTGAAATGCCAAAAGAAATAATGTTCAAAGAAATGATCCCTATAAGAACAGTTATTTAATGGTTGTATAGAACAATAAAATTAATGTCAAAATGTGGCAAAGTCAGATTAAATAAAGACTAACTTCTGGAGTTGTTCAACCAAGAGTGAGCCCACTATGTTCTAAAGTATTCTGATTTCTCTCAGAACTGTGCATCTGCTGAACAAATGACATTCTCTACATTTATCAAGTAGCACATCAAGCATGGTATGGGAAAGAATGAAGAACTTTGTCTTAAAGAATCTTTAGCCAGAGTTTTACAAGAGAAGAAGTTGCTTTTTCTGACCCCTGCTACCCCAGATCCAGAACAGCACAGAAAACCACAAACAGTGTTATTAGCCTAAGCCCACATGATGCTTGCAACACTTAACATAATTTCTTCAAACATTGTCATTGCTTTTGGCAAGATTAGCACACACATACATTATTCTAGGTCAGGGCAAGGAAGAATCACAAGGGAGAAATAGGGAACATAGTTTATGATTAAAGCTATGCTTTAATTAAATTATGCTTTTAATTAAAGCTTATAGAAGTTGACTGCATTGGTAAGATTCTTTACATTTGTTTTCTTTTTTTCTTTATTATTATTTTTTTTTAGCTCCAGCTGACCTGGAACTTGCTATGTAGACTAGGCTGGCCTTGAACTCACAGATATCCTCCTGCCACTGCCTCCTGAGTGCTGGGATTAAAGGCATGGAGCACTACACCCGGCTACATTGTTTTTTGTTTGTTTTACATTGTTTTCTTAAAGGCTAAAGTTAAACAAGCGATCACACAGTAGGAACAGATCAAGAACATAGTGTTAAATGATTTCAAAGTATATGATTAACTTGATTACAAGGTTAGGTAAAAGTTCAGTTTATAACAGGAGGCACTCCCACAAAAGTCATTCTCACAACAGAAGTGTGAGTTTAAATATATGTAATAACATGATTAAAACACTGAATGATAGCACATAAGAGGAGAAGGAGGGGGCCACAGCCAGAGCATTCTAGTCCAAGAAGTTTCCAAACTTGCGTTGGATAAAGAAGAGGAGTTCATTTCATTGAGTTTATTAGACATCATTATGCACCATGCACAGTGTGAGATACTCCACAACATTCCCTAATTCTTTGCCTTCACCTATGCAATATACTTCTAGATAGATGTTACCTTTAATAGAAGTTCAGAATGGTGGTTGTCTTAGTTTGTTTCTTCATTGCTGTGACAAAACACTCTGATCAGTACCAAATTGGGGAGGAAAGGGTTTATTTGTCTTATACCTCCCAGGTCGCACACAGTTCATCAGGGAGCCCAAGGTAGGAACTCAGGGCAGGAACCTGGAGGCAGGAGCTGGAGCACAGGCCATGGAGGAACGGCTGCTTACAGGCTTGCTCCCCTGGTCCCTGCTCAGCCTGCTTTCTTATGCAACACAGGCCCACCTGCCCAGGGGTGGCACCACCCACAGTGGGCTGGGCCCTCCCACATCACTCATCAAGAAGATGCCCTTCAGACATGGCCACAGGCCAGTCCAATAGAGGCAATTTCCCGATTGAGGCTCCCTCAACCCAGGTGTGTCAAGTTGACACTAAAGCTATCCAGCACAGTGGTCAATTTCCTAAGGGAACAAGTGTCAGAGGTAGATACAAATTTAGGTCTGTTAATGATTCCCCAAAACAGGGAATTTTCTCACTTCATTCTATCTAACAAGACAGCAAGATTCAAACTCATTATAATTTCTATATTGTACCTTTCAGTACACTGATAGAATGACGGTCTTCAGGGGACTGGCCTCCTTACATCCAACATTTCTCTCACCAGAGATGTTACAGTGACATTTTAATGCAGGTCAGGAATATTTTACCTTCTTTTGATCATAACACATTTAACTTCTATGCGGTTATTATCCCAAATTGATTTTCTTATTCAGGGTAGTTCTTGTATGATGATCACTAGGATGTGGCCTATAGTTTCTTTTCTTTCTTTTTCAAACTATTTTGAAAAGGTAGTTATGAAGCTATAACTGTTTAATATATACAATTTGAAGAATTGAGATTCATTCATTCATTTTTAAAACAGTATGTTTTAAAGAAACCAAGGTGCTAAAACTAGCATGGTGGTGAAAGCCTGCAATCCTAATACTCTAGAAAGCTGAGGCAGGAAGATTGCTGTGAGTTCAAGGCCAGCCTAGGCTATTACATAGAACCAAGCCAGACAGGGCTACATAGCAAGAACCTGCTCAAGGGGGAAATAGGGGAGAGGAGAGGAAGGAAAGGAGAGAGAGAGGAGGGTTAAAGAGAAAGAAAATATGAGTCATAGGACTTCTAGGGAAAAGGGAATTTTCGTTTTGATCAGATGGCCCATTTTACTGCCTTGTCTCCATAAGGAGTTATGGTTATGGGGAGAGGCAGGCAATTAAGAACCTCTGCTTCCTTTCTTTGGTGATAATCCATTCTAAAATTTCAGCGTGATCCCAGTTCCTAACTACAGGTACAAGCCCTGGGTGACTTACACCTGTCTCTGTCACTGCATCTCCTTGGTCCATTCCTCCCTCTGCTCCAGCCACACTGAGCACAACCTCATGGTTCCAGATCTTGAATAACCACTCCAAAAAACTATTCGAAGTTCACCTGCAAAGTTTCTAAACTAGCCCCATCAGCTACTGAACATGCCCCCTAAAATGTCCTGTCTGAATTGAAATGTGCTGATTTTTAAGGTTTTAGATTTTTAAGATTTAGAATTTTTAAAATCAAAGTATCTTATCAATACATTTATATTGATTACATGTTGAAATATTTGGTAAATGTTAGGTTATTAAAATTACTTTAAATTTTCATATTTTTCATAATGTGGTAATTTGACAATTTTAAATTGGAATCATAGTTCTCACTGTATTTCTATCTGACAACGCTGTTCTACTGCTTTATCGTTATGGTTCTTGACTCCTTTTTTATTATTGTTCTGTGAGTTGTTTTGATTTGAGACTGGGGTGTATGTAACCCAGTGCCTGAAAAGCACTGTGCAGCCGAAGGCCTTGAATTCCGGAGCTCCTACCTCCACCGCCTCGCCTTATAGGCGTTCAAGTTCGAAGCCCAACGTTTCCAGGCTCTTATTACTGTGTGTAATGATCGTACCTGTATTTATTCGTCGGTTTTGTAACGATGGCCCAACTAAAATGCAAAACAGGTCATTTTCTAGAAAGAACCTGGAGCCCAGAATGCACTCAATCATGCGTTTTGGTTTTGTTTTCTAAATCACTGACTTCCAGATCTTCATCCGGAGATGTGGTGCAAGGTCTGTCCTCCCCCAAGCACAGGGTTCCAGGTCCTTCCAGGCCCGCAGCGCATCACTGACCAGAAGCTCTGGAGCCTGGGAGGAGGGGCAGCTGGATACCCACACTTGACAGAACCTCTTTGTGTCGGCAGAAAACAATGCAACAAAACAAATCACCAACCAACACAAAGGTGACTGACAGGGTGGAGTCCTGGCTCCTGCGCCCTCTTTCTAGGAAAACTGTGCCGCGGCCTCCCACGCACTTCTCCCTCCGGCCACACGGTGGCAGGCGAGCGCACGGCGGCCGTGGTACAGTCCGTTCTCCCCCGCGGCCCGTGGACAGTGGGCTCTTCCGGTTGTAGAAAAGCATTGTGGGGCAACGGCGCGTCCTCTGTGTGCTCCGACCTGACGTGCGGCTTGGGTCAGGGTGCGGGCGCGTGGGGATGGCCCTCCGGAGGCCCCGCGGCGGCCTGTGCGCGCGTTCCTTCGCGGAAGGTGGGGAGATGGAGTCGCCATGCTGGCCGCGTGGAGGCCCGGACCCACCTGATGCGCCTCTGCTCGCCGTGCCCAGTGTAGGTGGGAGCCATGTGCCATCCGAGACGCAGATCTTCCCAGGACCGGACGGAGCCTGGCGGAAGTGAGTGGGCATCCCGGGTTTTGTAGGTGAGTCTTCATATTTGTACTGAACAGTTGCCCCAGGGTTTAGAAAACAGTAAATCTGCCATCGCAAACACTGTTTTCGTTACGAAGCTGGGATTGTCTTCTAAACGGAAAGTACAAGATGGGATTAAATCCCTCCCTAGCTTTTCGCTATGGATAGAGTCCATCTGCCTTTGCTCGTGTTGCCTTTGTGTTGCCCGTTCACTTTTGGAAACTAGTGAATGTGGTGTCAAAAAAGGCATAAATTGATGCTTTGCAGCCTTTTCCTACCCTTAAATGTTGTATCTTTGGTGTAGGACCTGCATAAGGAACAGTAGCTGTATGTGTCTGAAGTTGGAAATCCCGCACCAGGACTACGTCCATTTAACTGATCTCTTCTACTTATTTGGCAGATGGGTGTTTGAAGCCGGCTGTTATATCTGAGTGACTCGTGGAAGCACAAAGGTGGCTTAAGGTGGGGTGACTGCAAAGTGCAAGTTGGGGGGGGGATTTCTTCCTAAATTGTGGTACCATCGTAGTATTCGACATAATTTGCATTGCTGCTGCTTTATCTGAGGCTAACAGATCGGACAGCCTGCTTGGGGAGGGGGGTTGGCAGGTTCTGACTGAAGAGAGTAATGTACATTGCAGTGGCTTTTTGATGTTTAGGTTCATGTGTGGTAGGTAGATGTAAAGAACCCTGCCGAATCTAAGGCCCTATGGTATCTAAAACTGAATATAGAAAATAAGGGAAGGAAAACAGGATTGTTACTGCAGAATCCTTAGGGTGGGACAGACGTGTATGCATTCACTTTGGAAACTCAAGTATATCTTTTTCTTTCAGGACTTAATGAATTGGGAAGTTTGATCTTCAGAAGTTGCATGGATGATTTAGAATTTCTGGGCCTGCTGAAATACTGCTGTTGGATAGATCATGAATACAGACATTAAGACAGACTGAATAAAAATATTCTCATGTGCTGCTTTGAGATTTGCTTTATACAAGTGGCTGCCAGAAAAACAGCTTTTTCTTGCCAAAAGCTCAAAGTAAAGGTTTCTTATTCTCTTCCCCCCCTCCCACCACCAACTTCAAATTTATGTTAAATCTTATCTGAAATTAGTGTTGTCATAGGCACCAAGGCCCAAAGACAAGTGCTTCTTTCTATGGGCTCATACATAACAGCCAAACCAGAACTCCACAATTAACCAAGCGGGAGGGGTCTTCTCCCTTTGCTTATTAGCAGGAAAGAGCAAGCAGTAGGAGCAATAAGGTTTAAAGTGCAGTACAGTAGAGAGGTGTAGCGTTTCTATGTGAGATGGACCCCACGAGGGGATTTGACCAAGCTGAGGAAGCCTGAGAAGGCAGCTGAGTGAGGGTAGTGCCATTGCACGTTGACCTAGAAGAAAAGCCCTGTGACCAGAACTCTGCTTGTCTGGCAGCAGAGGCTGCATTTCCCTTTACTCTGGCTGTAGGTTGAATGCCCAGGATTGTAAGCTGGCAAGTGCAGGGGCTGAAGGGGAGGTAGAGACTAGACCACTTAAGGCTTGAAGGTCCTTAGGTGAAAAAGCAAGAGGTCAGTGGAGCTGAAAAGGGTGGTGGTCAGATGTAGAAGCAAATAAAGGCAGAGAAGGCGTAGTGTTGGTGCCTAGGAGGTTTTGAAGTTAGTGACACAGCTTCACTAGTAGAGAGCTTTGATCTGGTTTGATTGTGAGGCCAGAGGTACAACCTGCTTGGTTGGCAAGCACTTTGTACCAACTGAGCCATCTTCCCCAGTCTCCTATTCAAGGAGGTTTTAAATGGGTATGGTGAAGGTAGTCCTCAAATTTAGCTTGGGAACTGGAAGGTTATAGCCTAGAGACATTCCTGGATTGAAAGGAGAATTACTCAGCTGTAGTGATAGGTGGCGGAAAGTGAAGGTCCTGAATACATGAGGAAGCAGAAGAATCCCAGGGAGGCTGTGGGAAAGATAGTCTTGGTTGATGCAGCCCTGGAGAGCATTCTTAGGGTTTGTAAGTTTTCCCAGTTTTAATTTTGCACAGTGGAAAGGTCCAAAACACTAGGGAGACAGGTGGCCAGGCACAATTGGAGACAATTAGAATGCACACTTCAGAAAACACATGACAAAGACACTTAAGAAATTACAAAGCAACACATAAAAACAGCTTTTTACGTCATTTGTAAATAACCAATGGAACTTAATGCCACAAAATACTATATTACAAACACCTTTAAGGGAATAACCACTGCAGTCAGTGATGTCAGTCCTGCTGCACCTTCACACAACGCCAGGAGAACGCCTAGAGTGAACTCCAGCTTGGTATACTAGTGCATGGCACAGCTACAGTCAAAAAGAGTCCAATGGGCTCTGCAGAAGCATTGTCCCTGGCTGTAGCAGCAGTCAGACACATGGACTTGGATAGGGTTTCAAGGACATTTCCAGTTAAAAGGCCCCGCAGCACAAGAATGCTGTAGTTAAACCTTTAAGGAAGCAAAAGATGCTTATTGTGCTAAAAAGGTGTCCAGGATACTTGGATAATTGTCTAATTCACAGTTTCAGAAGTACCAGTGGCGCACAGACTCGTCCACTTCCACCCTGGCCCTTCACCAGGATCAAGTCTCTGTCTTGAGGCGGGCAGCTTGGATAGTTTTTACTGTTTTTGCTGTGTGTTTTCCAGCCAGGTTGCTTGTAGAGAGCTGAGCTTTTTCTTCAATCAGGCTGTCTTTAGACCCATTTCTTCTCTAGAAGAAAATAGATTTAATAACAGAAGAATCAAGTATCTTAACCATCAGAAACCATAGCAGGATACACCTGTAATCCCAGCAGTCAGGAGGCTGACAGGAAGACAGCAGGTACAGGACCATCCTGGGCTACATTACACAGTAAGGCAGACTCAAATTTATGACACCGCAAGTTACAATTTGAAAAAAAGCTCAGGCTGGAGAGATGGCTCAGCAGTTAGAGTGCTGGCTGCTCTTCCAGAGGACCTGGGTTCAGTTCCCAGAACCCCCATGGTGGCTAACAGCTGTAACTCCAGTTCTAGGGGACCCAACACATTCTTCTGGCATTGCACAACACAAGTGCACTTACATACGTGTAACCATAACACTCATACACATAAAAATAAAATATTTAAAGGCTCTATAATACCAAAAGCTGTTTGGCAAGTTTCATCTGAATAGTTAACTGCAAAATTTTAAAAAAGATGTGTTTAATCTTGGTCTGATAATTAGGGGCATAGTGAGAATTTTATTCATGAATGTTAGGTATAAATCACCCCTGTAAGTGTCATTTAGTGACTAATTCCTAAACTAGGCTCTAGGTCATCTAAGCAAAGCAGAGGAGAGTAGAAAGACAGGAAGACTTTCCTGGTTGCTTCTAGTAGTCACTGGACAAAGTAGTTATCTTACACGAAGTACAGTATCTTGGGGCTCCCTGCCATTTGGAGCTACATGTCGAGATTTGCAACATAAAAGGAGGCTAACTAGCTACCAGATCCTGGTACCATACCCAGGGCTTCTGGAATTGGGACTGCAATCCAAAACAACAGATGGAGGCCCCAAGAATGTCCCTCGCAGTGTACCTCACAACAGCTCTCTGCCTGTGCCTCTTAGAGATGACTAGATTTGTCTCAACCACATGAGCAAACATTTCCAGGATGAAAGCCATTCCCTTTGATGGGGAGGACAGACCTACAAAAGGACGTGAGTACTTCTGCCTGCCATCCCTCAACAAGCGATCCTCTGTCCCCACCCTCATGAGTCATTTCTTGGGCTTGAAGAATACCTAAAAAAATCAGTGAAGCAATTGTTTTTTATTATGGTTCCAAGTGCTCTTACAGTCTTTTTTATCCTTACTGTTGTTACAAGCTTCTAACCATTTTAGACCTTGCACCACTGCCAGTTTCAGTATCGAACAACTCCTCAGGGCTGAGCCCTTGGTTGTGGCTCACACACGCCTCCCTTCAGCTTTCAGGTTCAGCAGGTCCTTTTAATACTCAGAATCTCAGAATGAAGTTAAAGACTTACTGCCCCCTGTATCCAAAGGAATCCCCCAAAGCACAAGATGCTTCTTGAAATTTTAGCTGGGTTGTGAGATAGTTCGGTGGGTAAAAGCCCTCACCACTCAAACCTAGCTAACCTGAGTTCAGGCCCTGGCCTGGAACCGACTTCAGAAAGTCGTTCTCTGACCATACTCACTCTATGGCACACACGTACACACACAACACACACTGCTTTTTTTTAAGTTGTCATAATAGGATACCTGAATACTTCATTACTAACCTGATGAACTGTAGAGCCACCAGAACCCTGAGCATCTGACGAACGGGTCACCGGAAGCGGTGGCACAAGATCTGTTTTTGAGCTGCAAAACAGTAAGCTTGAGAATCAATGGACAGGACAGTACCGAGATTCAGATCTTAAGTTCTGTGGTGGCAGGAAACTCTGTTGGGCTGTGTGTTCCAGACAGGAGGCTGACTTGTCCTCGGCCCACCCACTTACTTCACTTCTGAGAGAACGGACCTCTCTCCATCTGAACACTGGGACCTGCGGTACTGCCGGTAACTCCGTGGAGAATGAGAATGCCTGATGCGGACTGGGTCACCCTGAGTCCTGCACAGGAAACCAAACAAACCATGGAAAGTCACAACAGGATAATAGGGAACTTCTTCCTGAATACTGAAGCTACACACTTTCAGGCTGCTTTTTATTTTATTTTGTGGGTAGCTTTTTTTTTTTCATACAAGTTCTCATATAGTCCAAGCTGGCCTCAAACTTGAACTGACTGAAGCCAAGGATGATTTTTAACTACTGATCCTACCGCATGAGGAACTTGAGTGACCCTCCTGCCTCTACCTCCCAAGCGCTGGGATTACAGGTGTGCTCTACTATGCCTCGCTTAACCACTAAAATTTGAATAATTTTGAGAATTCAGTTCATTTCTCTCTGGGAACATGGAAGGGAAAATCTACAATAGAAGAGAATGGCTCTCCTCTCTGAAAAAATGCATCATTGTCCTAGCAACTAATTCAGTGATCCAATCCTCACTTGAAAATGGCTGAGAGTTCTTACATGTTCTTAGCATGCACAAGGAAAAGAGTTGATATGTTAGCCTGCCTGATATAATGATTTCACAGTATAAACACAGTAAAATATCACATAAATCTCTTAATCTGTACACTTTTGCCAGTTACACTTTAACTTTTAAAAGAATTAGTCTTTGATCTAAAGACGGTAGGAAAAGGGCCGTGGAGCTTGCTGCCAAGCCAGATGACCCGAGTTTGATTCCTGGAGACGCGCATGATGGAAGGAAAGAACTGACTCCTACAAGTTGTGCTTTGACCTAGACACACACACACACACACACACACACACACTTTTTAAGGGTTAAAAAAAGATGCTAGGAAAAGGCTGAGGAGTATCAGCCTGCAATTTCTGAAAAGGAAAAGTCGGATCGTAGATGGAAATAAAGCAACGAAGTGTGCTCCTGTCCTCTCTTAACCAATTACCAGGCAGAAAACACAAATGGGTGTGCTGCAGCCTGTGCTGGAGGCCTTTTGCACAGCCTTCATTTTAATGCAATGCTGTTCTGACAGGAACTGTCTTGGGCTTATATGATACTGTTTTGTGTTAAAAATGATGGATAAAAATAAGCTTTGTTGCCGGGTGTGGTGGCACACACCTTTAATCCCAGCACTTGGGAGGCAGATGGATCTTTGTGAGTTCGAGGGGAGGTGGATCTTTGTGAGTTTGAGGCCAGCCTGGTCTACATAGTGAGTTCCAGGACTAGAAAAGCTTTGTATGAATATCTCAGAAAAAGAACATATTTTAAATGGATATTACTGATCAAAAGCCCCCTTGTACCCACCACATACAAACAGGCAGCTGACAGGAGATGACAGCCGTAGGAAGGCAGAACAAGTACAGTTTTATGGGTTTTGTTGTTTTTTCATTTTGTTCTTTGAGACAGGCTGGGCTGGAACTCACTGTGTGAACCAGACTGGCTTTGAACAGGTACAAATCCTCTTGCCTCAGCCTCCCAAGTTCTGGGATTAGTGACATGAGCCTCCACACTGAGCAACAATAATGGTTTTAACATACCATTTTCTTTTTTTTTTAAATTTTTTTAAAATTTCTTTATGTATACGAGTGTATTGCCTGCATGTATGTAAATGCACCTGTGTTGTGCAATGCCCATGGAGGTCAAAAGCGGGTGTCAGAGCCCCTGGAACTGGAGTTACAGATGGTTGTTAGCTACCATGTGGGTTCTGGGAATTGAATCCAGGTCCTCTGCAAGAGCAGCCAGTGCTCTAACTGCTGAGCCACGTCTCCAGGCCATTAGCATACCAGCCCATTAGCATACCCTCTTCCACCTCCTTCCTGCATTCACTTTTGTCTTTAGTTAATGTTCAAATTAAAACACTGCATGGCACCACACAATTAAGAATGAATTGCTCCCTTAGTACTGATAAAACTTCATGAAAAGATTCTCAAAGATGTACTCACTCTATTTTAGTGTATGGAATCTCTTTCAACTGCTCTTCTGACAATCCAGATGGATCCACAAGTTCCTTTCTAGAAGAGAATGTGCAGGAATATAAACGTTTCAGTGCTGGTATACCTCCTGAGAGCTTTCACAATTGAGGAGCTTTCCCTTTCTGACCTTGTCCCAAACCATGGTGCTAGTAAACTAATACACATGCAAGATGAGAGCAGAGCTGAGTAAACTAGGATGTGTTCACAGAAGAATGGCCAGGAACCCTTCCCTGTTGCTCTGTTGCCTTTTTTCCACTCTCTCTATGGTTCCCCATTCCCCACACAGATGTGCTGCTCTCTCCTGTGACAGGTCTTTCTTTTATATATGGGTTTCTTTTTTTTTGGTAAACTATTGGCCCTTCTGAGGCACATTTCCAGGAGAGGAAGTATCAGTTCTGCCTGCGGACAGCTGCTGGGATGCTGGGGTATAGGCACCATCATGGGACTCTGAGGATGACCCTGAGGACCTGCCGAGGCCTCAGATAGAGGTTTCTCACAGTGGCAGAGGTCTCTCTTTCAACCAATTCAAACTACACACATGGAGTGGGGGGGATCTTGCACATATGGGAAGGACCCAGCACACATGGGGGACCCCAATACTCACTGAATGTGCTTCCACAGCTCTTCTTTTGCTTGGATATCGGGGCTTCTTCTATAAATGAAGAAAACAGTATTTACCTCTGTAATTATGCGTCATCTTCAATCCTAGGAGTTAACTTTAATAGTTCTCAGACTGCGAAGATCTTGTTTGTCAGCTGATTGCTGACAGGAAACATAGGGCAGGGAGAGCACTATTACAATAATTAGTGAGATAATGTCAGCACATAAACAAAAACTAGACATAACCAGAACTTTGTTTAATGAAAGAGCTGAGAAGCCATGCCTGGTAGTATGTGCCTGTCCTCTCAGTACTTGAGAGGCAGAGGCAGAGGCAGGAGGATCACCCCAGGTTTGATGCCAGCCTGGGCAGCCAGTGCTACATACAAGACCCTACATCCCTATCTAGCAAGCAATAAATACATAAATAAGAAGAAAAGGAGGAGTTTAACTGCAGGGACATATCCTCAAACCCTCTCCAGGAGAGAGTAGGCAATGGAGAATGATTCAGGGGCTCTGGTTTCTGACAAAACCTGCCTTTACTACATCTTGCCCATCTGATCCACCAGGTAATGTGTTAATTCATTAAAAGACACTGCCTGAGAAGGTGCAAGCATTAAAAAGGATTTAGCTATTATTGTATTCCATAAGAATGGTGGATCAGTTGTGACTGTACTTCAGCATCTGAGCCTCATAAGATGTTACAGCCGTCCACTGTCACATGATATTTAGGTGAAGAAGCTGTTCTGATGATCAAATATTTCGGGAAGATACAGGACTGGGGTTAGCTGACTTCCTTCACACTGGATATTTGAAGCAATAACTCTTTTTTCTTTTTCTGTTTTTTCTGTGTGTGTGTGTGTGTGTGTGTGTGTGTGTGTGTGTGTGTTTTGTTTCTGTGACAGTTTCTCACTATGTAGTTTCTGGCTAGCCCAGAACTATGTAGACAAGACTGGTCTAGAACTCAGAGCTGCACCTGCCTCTGCCTCCCAAGTGTTGCAGTTAAAGGCGTGTGGCACCACACCTGGCTTGAGCAGTAACTCTTCTTAGGGATCTGTCCTGTGCTTTAGGTTAGTGACATTCATGGTATCTACTAACTATGAGGCAGTAGTACCTCCCTTGTGTCGACCAAAATGACTCTAGGGAGCCCATGAGCTGGAATGCGGGGTGAAGATGCTTACCAACAAACCTGATTGAAAGAGAGAACCAACTCCCAAAAGGTTTCCCTTTGACCTCCACATGTAAACTATGGTGTACACACACACACACACACAAATTAATAATTTTCCTTAAAATGACCCTAGATAACGTCAAATGTTCTAGGAAAATCAAAGTTGCTCCCAGCTGAAAACCACAAGTCAGTCAAACATAACTGAAAAGTGGCTAAGACTGGGTGGTAGAAGTGAGTAGCCAAGTTACTTTAGAGGCCCATTATGTGACTATAGAAACAATAATGGGAGAGGGTGACAGGTAGGGACCCAATAGCAAAAGAAAGGTAAGCATGATCGGGGGCCATAGCTGATGACAACTGCAAGGTGAGTAGTATGAGAAAAATAATGGGAATGGGACATACAGCCCATGCCCACCCTGTCCAGGCAAGTGAGAGATGAGGAGTATCAATAATTATTTTTTTTAGTTTTTAAATTTATTTTTAAATATTTTATTATTGTTAATTTATGTGTATGAGTGTAATTCCTGCATATATATATATAAGTGTGCACATGTCACTTAATGCCTGTGGAGGTCAGAAGAGGCATCAGACCCCCCTGGAACTGGAGTTACAGACAGTTGTTAGCCACCATGTGGGTGCTGGGAACCAAAACTGGGTCTTCTGGAAGAGCAGACAGTGAGTCTCCTTAACTACTGAGCCATCTCTCCAGCCTCAACAGTTATTTCTTTTAAAAGGGGATGGTGAGGAGGCTGACATGGCTCAGCGTGTGTCTGCTGCCAACCAAGTCAAGACCATTTAAATTCGATCCCCAGGACCCACATGATGAATGGAAAGACCCAACTCCTGCAGGTTGTTCTCTGACTCCATGTGTGCACCATAGCATACATGTACCTACACACACATACACATATGCACACATAATAAATAAAATGTAATTAAAATAAAACACACACACACACAAACACACATGCATGAACACAAAGCCAACAACTGAGTGAGCATGTGCCACACCCTACGTTAGGGTCACAATACCACAAACCCAGAGCAAATAACAAGGAAGTGACAGCAGCAACAGCCCTGATGAATGGAGCGTCAGGCGATCTTATTTTCTTATTTATGCTTTTCTGTTTTCTTTAAGCAGAGAATTTCTGAACTTATGGGGGTGAAAAGTTAGGGTCTTTTCTATGTGTAAAAAAAAAAAGGTCATCCTTGCAATACCACATAAAATGCTTCTCCTTCTGTATCTGAATAGAGATGGCAGAATGCTATATTAACCTGAAGGACCAGTCTTTCTAGTCAAACATTTTGGAACTAAGCATTCCAGAATTTAGTCTGTATCTTTATGCCCCCTAGCACTGAAATGGTCATATTTTTGTTCAACTAAACTGAGTTCTGCTATATCCAGTAGTTTTAAACAGCTTAAGGCATGGAAAAGTTCTAGAGCTGAAAAACAAAATGCCAGTTTCCTCTGATTCTAAACCATCTGTGATTTAAGAACTATAAATACAAGGTATTTTAATGATGAATGTATTATTTTGTACTTATATCAGCACATAATATTGTAGGATAAATTTTACATTACCTACAACTCAATATCAAATTTTAGATTTAGAAAACTGTGAAATTTTATAGCTACTTTTCTTAATTAAAAGATCCTTAGGACTTGCCTAGCATTCATGAAGCCCTGGGTTCAATTCCCAGAACACCATAAACCAGGCATGATAGTGCATGCTTATAATCTTGGCATTTGGAAGATGGAGGCAGAAAATCAAGAGATCAAGTTCATCCTCTGCTATATGTTGAGTTCCAAGCCAGCCTGGGCTACATGAGACCCCGCCTTAAAAGTCAAAAAACAGCCGGGCGTGGTGGAACAAAATCTTATGTAGATGCTTTGCTTACACTTTTGAAAGAAATTGAGAAGAAAACTGAGCCTTCAATTGTCCACAGATATGAAGTACAACAAATATAAGCATGCCACCATAACTGGTCCAATGTTTTCAAAAGTATCCCTAGCTACACTTATACAAACATTCACCTCTAAATTAATCATAGAAATTAGTTTGGACAAATCAGCTTATAATCGGAGACTGAGGCAGGAAAATCATAAGTTCAAGGTCAGCCTGGGCTACACCATCTCAAAAAAAATCCTGTGTAATAGTATAAAATATACAATTACTGTATTTTATATACCATATTTACTTACAAATAGTAACTATGGATGCAGCCAACTTATATTATTTTTTGTCATCTTTAGCTAGCCACAAGTCTAAAAGGAAATTTAAAAGTAGAAAATAAGTAAATACAAAAATTATCTTTATTTAGAGTATTCAAAGTTCATAACAAAGTTTTAGAACTTAGTGATATTCCTGAGTGGTCAGAATTTAATAAAATTAGGAGATGTCTTATTCCTCCCGTCCTTTCCCCTCCTAATTAAAGCACTAGGAGGCCATGAAACCCAGAAACTTAGCCACCGAAGTTTGCTCATGAGAATTTGCCAGGAACTTCATGTTAAATATGTATCTGCATCAGTGCATCAGTGAATGCACACCTCACTGTCCAAAATTACCAGTATTTTTGAGTCAGTAAAAATAGTAACACAGGGGCTGGAGAGATGGCTCAGCAGTTAAGAGCACTGGCTGCTCTTACAGAAGACCCACGTTTGATCCCCAGCACCCACATGGCAGCTAACTGTCCTAACTCCAGTTCCAGAGGATCTGACGCCCTCTTCTGACCACCGTGGGCACTGCACAACACAGGTGCACCTACCTACATGCAGGCAATACATTCATACACATAAAATAAAAATATTTTTAGAAATAGTAACATGCCGGGCATGGTGGCGCATGCCTTTAATCCCGGCACTTGGAAGGCAGAGGCAGGCGGATCTTTGTGAGTTTGAGGCCAGCCTGGTCTACATAGTGAGTTCCAGGACAGCTGGGGCTACAGGGAGACCCTGTCTCAAAAAGACAAAAAAAAAAAAAAAAGTAACACATCGTGGCCACCAGAGGGCGCCGGAGCCTACTCGCGCACACAAATTGAACCTACCAAAATTATTGTTTGCCAGGAAAGCCTCTTTGACATAACCCACTGAGTAAATGTAGAAAGCGGTTTCACTGGCGTTAACCATTTTTATGCGTATAGAACAGTAATAAACACGAATGTCATAGCGGTGGAGCTGAGAAATGTATTAGATAATACTGAACGTCCCAATGTTTAATCACACAAGATCCAGCTATGCTTCAGCTTAATGCTTTTAAAAACAGAGGGCTTTGTATTTCGTAACACTGCACACCTCTGGTATTTAATAATTAATACAATTATCCAGCTCTTCATTTGGGGAGTTAAAAAAAACCTCAAAATGAGTGAATAACGATACATCGTTGCATTCTGATCCTTGGTGGATAATTCTATATGGACAATTTATATACACTACAGCAGCAATTTAAGAATATGTATGAATGTCAGGCATGGTGGTACCTGCCTATAACTCCAGAGGCCCCAGAGGATCAGGAGTTCAAGGTCATCCTAAGCTATCCAAGGATGATCTTGAGTTCCTGAGCCACCAGTCTCCACCCCTCTGTGCCTGAGGAATTCTTTTTAGAAACATCCACTCTGCTAAAGTAAGACCCTTAGCTTATCAGGACAAGCCAGTATGAAGCCGAGTTGGAAAGTTTTGGTGGTGGTGGTGGTATTTTTGTTTTGTTTTATCTTACTGTGCACCACTGGCTAGCCTGGAATCTCTTATGTAAACCAGGCTGGCCTTGAATTCAGAGATCTGCCTACCTCTGCCTCCTGAGTGCTACGATTAAAGGTGTGTGCCACCATGCCCAACTTTTTTAAAAAATATTTATTTTCTTGTTAATTCTGTGGAGGAAGGGGGTATG